ACAGAAAAGGATAGTTGTTTAAGAGAAGATTGGGAGGTAGGGGTTTGGATTTATGAGTGCGGGGGATCCGATAAGGATAGCATTAGTCTTCTCGACGTTTGGGGTGAGCATGTTGCGGTTTGTCCAAGCGCAGATTCGTTCCATATCTTCCTGAATTTGTAAGATTGCTGCAGTGGAATCAGCCGGACCGAGTGAAAGGTAAATTTGGACGTCATCTACATAAAGGTGGTATTGACAATGCAGGATAGAGGACGGGAGGTCATTGATATAGATGGAGAAAAGGATGGGAGATAAGGAGAACTCCTGGGGAACGCTCCTGGTCAAAGATAGAGACTCTGATGGGGTATTATTAGGGACTAATAACATACTAGAAGCAACCGGTGAGGAAGGATTGGAACCATTAGAAGATAAGAATTAGTTTGGGAAGGAGTATATTGTGATCTACTGAGTCAAAGGCTTTGCAAAAGTCAAAAAGAATAAGGATGGTGAGTTTGTTGGTCTATAGCTGTATGAAGATCTTGGGAGATTTTAATGAGGGCGGAATGGGTGGAGTAGTCAGGTCTAAAACCGGATTGGTGGTAGTTCAGAAGATTATTTTACTCGAGGTAGTGGGATATATTTGAGATTGAACTAATCGTTCTAGAGGTTTGGAAAGGTTATATCAATCATTAGAGTAGCAGAATTGGAGGTTTTATTCAGCGGACGGACAAGAGCAGTTTTCCAGGTTTTGGGAAAAATGGAGCTTTGCAACGAAAAGTTATAAATGTGATAAAGAACAGATAGAATGGAGGGAAAGTGAGGATTTAATCAATTTGTCTGGTCCAAAATCATTGGTTTGGTATTTACGAATGGAATTAAGGAGGTCATCGGAAGTAATATGAGAAAATAAAAACTTATTGGGATAAAAGGAAGGAACAATGGGAGTTGGAGTTGGCCCTTGGAAAAAGAAATGGGAGGGGGAGGAGACAAAGTGAGTATTGAGTACTTCAGCCGAGATAAGGATAGACTAGGTAGGTTCGCCTAAGGACAATTTACCTTTGAAGTTCGAACGGGTTTGAGGCAGGGAGATGGACTCTCGCCGATGCTGTCCAACTTAGCATTAGAGAAAGTAATAAGAACAACATCACGCTAAGATGGAGGTGTGCACGTGCAAACAGGATTCAGGAGAGAGGAGGGACTCTAAGTCATTCCCGGAAGTAGGCAGATTCAAATACCTCGGCTCCATAATAAATGATCAACTAACTGAGATAGACCAGCGAATATAAAGTGCGAACAGATAGTTCTTCTCTATTTCAAGGGTACCTAAATCAAGAAAAAACTCAAGAAATCTAAAATTAAGGGTGTACACCGCCGTGATTAAGCCAGTTCTGCTGTACGGTTGTGAAACCTGGGCTCTAACCGGCACACTAGAGGCCAGAATTGAAAGATTCGAAAGAAAAGTTCTATGTAGGATAACAGGACCTTCTTTAATTTTGTATAGAACGTCTTTTTCAATGCCATGAATAGTTTTCCTATTATTATCGAAAATCCGAAAAAAGTGACTTTCTATACGCCTCCTACATCTGGCTCACTCACTACATAGGAATAGGGCTATTAGTATGTTTACCTCCTTATTAGTCCACACAATGTCCTAAAATCAAAAGTTGTGTCTCCGCCATTTCCTTCTATACCCCTTTTTTGAGCATTCATTGACTGATCTATAAAGGTTTCGATATTTGCTATTATTTAAATTTCTGGGTAATTATTCTCCGTAATTATGTAGTGTCATCCCAAAAATAATATAGAAATGTAGCAATTATTTATATCCGTACTATGAAAAAAATTTAGGACCAAAGTTCAAGAGAGGTAGAAGCACCTGACCAGATCAACATTCTATAGCTGTCTTACTTAAAAAGACACTAACCTTGGATTTCCTACTTTTATGCTGAGAATTGGCCCATTGTTTTAAGAACTTTATTGTAGACCGTTAAGTCTGCCACAACTTCTACAAAAATTTCCTCTACTTACTGGTCACCCTGTATATTGTAAATGTTATTATTTTGTAAAAAATATTTTATACATAACTATAATTACATGAATTTTAAATATTATTACTTTGAGAATATAGAACAATATATAAACGTTGGAAAGAGAACAGTTTATAACAGAGCTATTTAACTTATCAATCAATATCTCAAGTTCTACAGAGAAAAATACAACGAAAAAACAAATTACACAATTTAAGTGGAAGTTGGCAACTTTCAATGATCACCCTGCTATCCTATCTTCTAGCTCAGATCCAGAAACAGCATCCATAAACCTGCAAAGGCACCTATCCCAGATTGAATGCTGGTGTCAGAAATGGCTCATCAAAGCCAATGCATCCAAATGTAAACATATAACCTTCATCCTTCGTCATAATTCCTGTCCACCAGTTCATTTTAACTCCATCCAGCTTCCCTGCTCCGACACAGTCCGGTATCTTGGTTTTCTCCTAGACAGATGAATTACGTGGAATCCGCATACCAAGCTTAAAAGAAAGAAACTTAACCGTTAAGGTAAGGCCAGTTATATAGACCATTGAATAGAATATCTAAACTTTCTATTGAAAAGAAATTACAGATCTACAAGACAATATTAAAACCCTAGATCTATGGACTAGAACTGTGAGAGACAACCAAATTTTTTAACATTAAACGCATTCAATCCTTCCAGTCTAAAGTCCTCCGTACTATAGTCGATGATTCCTTCTTTGTCACCAATAAAACCCTGCATAATGACCTTAATATTTCATTTATTCTTGATGTTATCCCAGACAAATTCTCCAAATTTCATCAGAACCTTACTCATCACCCTAACCCTGTAGCACAGTCCCTATCGAGCACCACCCATCCCTACAATCCTCCTCGCAGGTTGAAACGGCAGTGACCCTGAGACCTTTGTAACATGTATATATTGGAGTTCTGACAATGCCCAGATTCTCCCCTCATGAGTGTCTGTGGTTGTAGAGCCCTTACTCAGCCTCCGCTGGATTTTAATAGCAGCGAAGTAGCTGAGGGAGAAGCACAGGGATCTCCTGAAGCCTCGCTTTCCCCTCCACAAGTGGGGTACAAGTCTGGTTCGGAGTACCCATTGCCGATTGTAAATAGGTATGCCTCCGTCTAAGATATTTATTTATTTTAATATCATTTTAATTCATTTTATTTATTTAATATTATTATTAATTTCTTCCCTCATTATGATATTTTATTTTGTTCTTATTCCGCTGTATATTATTTTGAAATTACTTTATTTATTTTGTAGATATGGTGTGAATGTGCTCTCTAAACTCAATTATAAGTATCCTTTGAGAAGGAGTTGATCGGGAGGGAGGGGAGGGGGTGCGGTCAAATAAAAACTAAATTCTAGAAATAGTATTGTTTAATTTTGTTGCCGACATTTCAACTGCCTCCCGCAGTGCTACATCCTACGCCCTGATGAAGACCTGCAAAGTAGGTTGAAACGTCGGTAAAAAAATTAAATAATACTATTTCTATAATTTACTATTCATTTGACCGCAGCCCCCGATCAACTCCTTCTCATGTCATATCACGGTCAACCATCTCTACATCATTATAAGTATCCTTAATTGAGACAGATTGTAATATTTATCAATAAACAAGTAATCTATTAAATTAACTGGAAGTGATTGAGATAAAATTCTATATAAAAGAGAAACAACGTTAATATTAAGAAAATATTAAAATATCATGTTTACAACTCTGTCACTGTTCGCTTTACTAAGCTTCTAAACCGGGCACGTTTTATTTTCGGTTCTCGCTGATCCTGTTGGATTATGGGATGAAAGCAATCCAGATAATATATTGGATGAGTTTGCTTTGCTTGCTGATAATGGTAATTTCTAGGATTTATAATTATCTATAACAATTTTCATACTCTTCATCGTTAACCATTTCCTTCTACGGCTATTTTAATAAACATTTAATTATTAGTCAATAATTAATTAATAATCATATGTCGTCACTAAAAATAAGTCTTTGCCATCTTTTTCTATCCTGCCAATCTTCTTCATGCATACCTCTTTCCATCATCCCTTCCTTAACTCCATCATACCAGGTTCTCCTCGGGCGACCTTTCTTCCGTATTCTTTCAGATTTACAATTCTAAATTTTCTTGGGTTATCGTCCTTCTTCCATCCTCATCATATGACCATACCACTTCAGCCTCATAGTTTCAATGGTATAGAGGATGTTCTCCGTTTGTTCCACTCGTTTTCTTACTTCATTGTTTGGAACTTTTTTAAGGTGAGAGAGAGCACATGATCGCCTCCAATAGTCCATTTCTAAGGCTAGCAATCATTTGATCGACTCTCTTTAATTGTCTACGATTCAGCTGAATATAAAATCACACTTTCATTTATAAATCTTTTTTTTTTTTTTTTTGAGGTCACTGATTTGCCCCACAGAAACGAATTTCAGGTCATGATGACTTTTTTCTCATTGCTTATGCTCTTTTCTATGTCCATGTCTGATGTTCATGTCATATTTCTTGAAGTTAATTAGGAAAAAACAGAAGCACGTTTTAAAACAAAGAACACTTTTTATCCAGAATAAACCAATAACAAAGAGTAACCTTTCTACTTTATACAAAACAAATATGTTTAAATAACTTAATCTAGTAGGAAATATAACTAAAATCTTTCAATAAACAAAGAAACAATTCTAGACAAATAAATATTTTATCACAACAATATTCATCCAGCTACTTAAATTGAGCTTCAAGTTACAACATCCAATTATTCATTTGAACATATTCGCTTTGGCTATTAAAGCCTTTATAAATCGTTTTTTCTTTGCTGACCACCAGCCTGAGTATTGCTGGAGAATTTTTCTCATCTTGTATTCTACATCTTCTTGTAAATAAATAAATTTTAATTTTCATATTGTAGTAATCTGTACAATTAAATATGTAATATTACCATCGCTATCATTTATGGTAAAGTACCATTGGAGCTTGCACGTCCCTCATCCATGGTATATCATGTTACGTTTGGAAATCTATTCTAACCTTTTTCACTCGTAGGTTTTTGTACGTACTCACATCTGCCATGTTTCGCAATTTCCTTAGCCGCCTCGGGCGGTGTTTTATTGCATGAGGCGGTTATAATGCCAAACACCAGTCAGAGAGATCACCATTTGGTACTATCCAGAGGAAGAAACCTAAAGTCTGCCATCCATCAGTTTTCTTTAGACACGATCTCACCTGATACACCTACTTACTAGCCAACTTCAAGACAGAAAACACCAGACCTACTGGATTTTTTCGTCACTAAACGACTAAGGACTGTACCGTATACCATAAATGCAAGCTTACAATCTTTGTTCTAATCATTCTCTTCTCAGCTTAGTACTGTGCGATGAGTCATGTACTAAAATGAAACGGCCATCTCTCGTAGGAGGTATTATCGACTGGAATGTATATAGATATAAGTTAAACGGAATGCTCTCTATTCCAATGTCCCTAAGGAACGAAGATGAAGTTGAAGAAGCTGTGGATAAATTCACGAACAATATTCATTAAGCTTCATTATCTTCTTCTGTTCCATGACCCAGTAGAAATGAGTGGCTTCCAACATATCCTCAGTACATAAAGGATTTGATCAGAGCTAAAAGACAGGCTCGCAAAGTATGGCAAATTGGTCGACTTCCATCTGACAAACGGACTTTCATTACACTTGATAATGAACTAAAACGGAAGAGTCAAATATTTAAAACTACAATTTACAACAACTACCTCAGAAATCAGTATAACAACAACTACCTCAGTGTGGTCTAGACCTCAGTTCAGAGCGTATGATAAAAGTTCAGTCAGTTTATAGTTAGTGATTTTCGCAGTTTTTAGAAGGAGTTCGGTCATAATTTTTGGTTAGAACCAACTATTAATCGTGTTATATCCACAGACAGGAAAGATTCTTCAATACAACGCCGTTTCACGTCAGAAGAAGAAAGGAAAAATCATAATTTTAGTCGGCTTAAGGTATTTATTGCAGGCATTCTAGATAAGAATATAGGTGGGGAGCGCATGCGCATAAATAGGACTAGGTACTAGATATCTCAGTGTTTCCAGTGACGAGATTGGGGTAACGTCAATTTTTTTACCACGTTACTTACGTAATTTTTTTTTTCTCTTTCTTCTTTTCTCCCGCTTATCAAGATGGTTTTATGCCCAATTTGTAAACAGACCATAGCAAGAGAAGAAAAAAAAACAATGGCATGCACTGTCACAACATGTCAAGCCATTTTCCATGGAAAATGTCTAAACGCAGACGAGAGTGAGTTTGAAGCACTGAGGGCATTACGAAAAAATTGGGTATGCCCGAAATGTGAAAAGGCTCGGAAAAATATCCAACCGACAGACAAGTGTCTCAGCCCGCCAAGATCGGCGCCACAACAACAAACTGTCGACAGCACGTCACAACTGTTACTTGCTGCCATTAAAAATCTAACAGAAGAGGTCAAGGGATTAAAATTCTCCCTCGATGCCAATGCTAACGAGGTGAAAGAATTAAAAATATCTCTCGAAAAGCAAGCCTCCATAACTTTTGAGAATGCGGCGAAATTAGACTCTATAGAGTCACTACTGGAGGCTCAAAATTCCAAGATTGACGGACTGGTCTTGGAAAATACGACTCTCAAGTCTCGGGTCTCGGAGCTTGAAATCAGGCTCAATAAAAGTGAGCAACTGCACCTTTCCAGGTCAATAGAAATAAGAGGAGTCCCAGTGAGATCTGGAGAGAACCCGATGGGCCTGGTTATGAGCGTGGGGGCGGGCCTGGGCCTTAGTCTAAAGGTGGAGGACATTGACTATGCAGAACGGATAAGAACCAGGCAAGACGATACACCTGGGCCGCTTGTGGTAAGGTTCGTCCGGCAGTCGCTTAGGGATGAGTTGATCCAGAGGCGAAAAGTCATTAGGGATTTTTCAACACGTCACCTCGGATGGCAAGAAAATGACGCCCACAAGATCTACCTGAGCGAAGCTATGTCCGTAACCAACAGACACCTGTACTGGCTGGCCCGGCAAAAGAGGTCTGCAGGAAAAATCAGGTACAGTTGGTTTAGCGCAGGCAAGGTGAAATGTCGACGAGACGATGGACAGCAGGTCGTCGTCATCAACTCACCATCAGATTTAGACACGTTTGCTTGACATGCATATACATGTTACATCACTTTGAACAATTTTGTTTTTACTTTTTTATATCCCCAGTTTTATGTTTTTGTTGCGTTTGTTTTAATAATAGACTATGATAATAATTTCATTTTTGTTTATGAGAATATTTTAGGTCTGATCTGTTCAGTAAACTCTAATTTGTGTATTTTTTTTCTTTTGCACAATAGGAATATGCTTTTCGTTAACTAAATTTTATATTTTTTGTTTACCATCCTTATTAATATCTAGGAGATCTTGCACACAATTGGCTCTAGCTGCTGTAGAAATATTCCTATCCTTAACTCCTTCTGTCCGTTTACCAAGCCACCCCTCCTTCTTCAAGCCACCCCTCCTTCTTCCATGACTAATATCCTTCTAACCTGCCACGTCAACGCTCAGTCACTCTTAGCCCATTTTGATGAATTTTACGACTTTTTTCTCCATAACTTCTACCATTTAATTGCCGTATCCGAAACCTGGTTGAAACCCACAATCCCGTCCTCCCAGATCCTTCTACCTAACTATACTCTCCTTCGTCATGACAGAGTAGATCGCACGGGTGGTGGAGTAGGTCTCTTTGTCCATGACAGTCTCAAATCCAAAATCCTTCACTGCTCTTCCATAACCGATTCTCCGCACGTTGAATACCTTTTCGCCGAAATCCTCACCACCTCATCTGCCATTCTGTTTGCTGTCATATATCGCCCTATATTTTTCACAGCTTACAATTCAAATATTCCATCCAATCCCGTCCCACCAGATCTCGTACTTCCGACCTCTATCCTCCTCCTCACCGAACTGCTGCGTTTGACAAATCCTTTGCAATACAAGCCGCCTCCCTCTGGAATTCCATCCCAGCTGATATTCGACACGCTCAATCAGTTTCCTCGTTTAAACCACTCCTCTTTAAGCACCTACTCCTTTCTCAATCCGAATGATTGTGAAATATATCTTAGAGAAATATCTGAGCACCACCAGAAACTACCTCAATTTATTAAGGTTATTTTAGTTTCTCATACATATGTACAATTTACTTGTTCTTTTTTTTCTCTTTTCTGTATTTTTATCGTAAGTCAACTTTCATTGTAAATATACAATTTAATTGTAGCCACACAGACATATAATCTGTATTCATATTTTGTTCTTAAGGGACAACAGTCCCAGAATAATAAAACATTTTTTTCATTTCATTTCATTTCATTTCAAATCTTTCAACTGGCGATGGAAGCTTACAATTCTTAGAATTCTTCAGCTAAGTTTCATTGGAATTTGTACATCCATTTGGACATTACAGTTAATACGAACACAGATTTTCGGCCGCCATCTTGAAAGGAAAGAGCGGTAGATGTGTTGAGATTTCGAATTCGAAAAAAAAATCGGTCCAGTAGTCACAGAGCAAGCCGCGGATGGCGGGAGAACAATTTTTTTTTTTCTGGTTCTACGTACCCTGAAATGTAAGAATTCGTATTTTGAGGAGAGCTAAGTTTTTAAATTTTTTGGTTGATTACAATGGTTCATTATTGAAAAAAATAAATTAAAAAAAACTCTCTTATCGTCGGAGCCATGGTAAAGAAATGAATATGCAACGCTGGACAGATTAACATTAATTAATTTAATATGGTGCCGACGATAACATAATTTTTTTTAAATTTATTTATAGTTATTCATTACCACTAAAGGTTAATGCATTGTCCATATTTGCACCACTTCCAAGTAGTATACAAAGATAATTCCTTTTACAAACTTTTTATTCATTGATAATATACATTACATTACATAAACTGTAATGTAATGTGTGTAAACTGTGACACATTCATTGTCTATATTTAATTAGAAAAACGATGTATTCATCTTTCATCTGGGCAATACTGTGCTGTAGCTTCAATTGTTCTAGAACAAAGTTAATTTTTTCGTTAGGTCAATTCAAAAGAATTTTCGAAAATAAAAGTATTAATTTACTTTTCTTACTCACTTAAAAAAGTCTCTACAGCAAGCCGTGTTACCCCTACAACAATACAGATAAGCTGGACAACATTTGGTGTCTGTACATTTCGGAGGTAGTAAGTTTCGATAATCCTCACGTTCTTCGATATCTACAATTAAATATAAGTTAATTATTATTTTTTAAAAAATAGTATAGAAAACCAATTATATTCTGGAACTAGGTCCTTCGAGAATAACAAATATAAATAAAAACATTAATATTGTTTGTATACACGCTACAATATGTACATTATCAACATTCAAAATATACACAAAAAATAATGTATTAAATAAGGATTAATTGAAGAAATTAGAAGTACACACTGAATAGAAATAAATGATTTTCACTGGCAATTATAAGATTTTCAAATTAAATATTCAATATTTTTTTAAATTAGGATACTCCTCAAAAACCTCCCCTCTCCTTCTCATAATTTTTCTGACACAGAATGCATGTTCGTTGAAATTTATTGTATTTCCTGTCGTCTATAAAATTCTATAGTGTACCACCGCACAGTGGGACATGAGTCTACAGACCTTGTAAATGATGTCGGCTTGAAATTTAGAAGCCTTATATTTTGAAGGCCAAGGAACACGAATATGACGTCAAAATTAGAAAAAGTTCACGAAAAATATAGAAAATTCCAGTATATTTGTGTAAACCTGAGATTTTTTAAATTTGACAATAAATAAACTTCGAAAATGGTAAAGATCCGTTGAAACGCATAATTTCAGATAATTATTAAAACTGCTGTCTATAATACTATAGTTATATTATTTTTTTTTTAATTTTAAAATATTCAAAATATAGTTATAAATATACTCAGCTGATGTGAACGTTTGTGTTTCCACCTCGGCTCTCAGAGTTTACTTGTTTTCCAGAGATATATCTGATTTTTCACTCAATACAGGCCAAGGATACATCAAACAGTTATATTCACAGTGTGTACAGCTAAAACAATTTCTGTCTTTTTTTTTTTTTCTTTTTTTTCCTATTTTCTTATCTTATGACATGCGGTACTATCACAAGTGATGTCCAGTAAGGCGCCTATGATGAGGACTCAGTCAGACGGCTCTACCCCTCGTGGTTCACCAGGGAAACTAAGAATTCGTCACAAACTACGGAAAACTCTTCCAGTGACCACACCTGTAGAATCTTTAGAATCTGAACCTCAGCCTCAACCATGTACATCTACACAAGAAATGGTTGAAGAATCCTCTTTCTTGATTCCAAGTGTTACAAATTGACAGAGAGGTATAGAGTCAGCAGCAATACCTAGAGAACCAAGGCCTAATCCGATACTTGTGAAAAATATAAGAAATTTTCAGTTGTTGTACACCCAACTAAATAAAACCTGCTACGGCAGTTATTCGTGTATAAACAGAACAAATGACACTACAATAATACTAGATACTGCTAAAACGTATCGAAAAATAGTAAAATATTTATCAGAAACGAAGGCGAATTTTCACACGTACCAACTGAGGAGTGAAAGAGCATTACGATTGGCGATAAGAAATTTGTACTCCTCGACCCCACCTGAAGTGATAAAGGAGGAACTAGAGATTCTTGGTTTCAAAATACTTCAGGTATCCAACGTTTTGAAGTAGAATAAGGAGTAGAAATAAAGTTCCGCCATCTTTATTTTTTGTTGACTTTGAGCCGTCACCAGATATCGAAAAGAAATATGATATAAACAGAATATTTTACATAAGCGTGAAATTGAGAAGCCTTCTCCTAAGAGGGACATATTGCCACCACTTGCCGCGTTGTGTGAAGTGCAGTAGACAACACAAATCTGCAGAGAGCACCAAAACGATTCAAGTTTCAGCAGTTTGTTCCCTATGCCTGGAGGGACATTCGGGAAACTATAAAGGTTGCCAAATTTACTAGAGCTTCAAAACCAGATACCAGAAGGACCGGATGAAAGAAAACCAGACCAAGATGTTAACCTGTTATAAATAAGGGGTTAACCTTCTATAACAGTTAACATCAATGTATCATTCTTCCTACTAATTGGAGATAAGAACCAAATTGATAAAAGTGAAGCACTGTCGCAACAACAACCTCGATCTCACACTAGGTGTCCAGATATTGTTTATCTGTAAAAGACAGAAACTTAACCGACGATACGGCCAACTGTAAAGACTACTAAATAGAAAATCTAAACTTTCTATCACACCACAAAACACAAAAGCCTTATACAAGCCATGGAAATGACGTATCTGCGTAAAATTGAACGAAAGACATGGAGAAATAAGATACGGAACGCCACCATACGGGCTAATCTCGACGTCAAACCGGTGGGGACCATTCTGGAGGAGTACAAACTAAGGTGGTTTGGACATCTTTATAGGATGGATCCAGATAGAAGACTTACGAGACCCACACCGGAGGGACAACACCCAGAGGGAGGTCTCGCATCACCTGGAAGGACAGTGTAAAGGAGGCATGCAGGAAGCACGGAATGGAATGGAGTAGGGAAATGGAGTTGGTGCAGGACCCTCACACCGAATCAGGGTAGAAGGAGGAATGATTGATGATGATGATGATGATGATGATGACCTTATAGAGCTAATCCAGACCAAACGCCGTGCCAGAATTTCATAGTAATGTACCAAATATCCCATCGATCGCCACACCTACAATTTTAATTGTAAACTATTAAAGCAAGAATCATTATCCTTCATATCCCAATGCTTTAATTCCTACCTTACTTGCCTCTCTGATCATAACAATTCCTCTGGAAAACCATCAAAAGAATCCTAAAATCCTCTCTTATGGAAACATTCCACCATCGTCCTCTTCCTTTAGCCTACACCCAATCGATTCGGGATTCGATCTCAACATTCCACCGTCCAATAAGGACTCCGAGTTATTGACCATATATTCCTAACCCCAGTAAAAGCAATATTGTTCGGGTGCATTTCTAGACATAGTGCAGGCCTTTGGACGGGTATGGCACGCCGGATTGCTCTTCGAATTCCACCTTCCACAATCTTTATATCTAATACTCCGATTCTACCTCTCTGACCACTCCTTCCAAATTTGCTGTGGTACTGAATTCAATAACTATTATTCAATTGAGGCGGGTGTAACGCAGGGCAGCGTCTTGGGTCCCATCCTTTACATTATTTTTACCGCCGATATCTCTGTCCATCCCGTTATGTCCTAACAACATTCGCTGATAACACCGCTATCTGGTGGGCGGGGTGACCGAATGGGCTAACGCGTTGTACACACCACCACCGTTGCCCGACAACCTGATATATGACTTCTTCTTCTTCTTTTTCTTTCTCTAGCTCCTTTGTGTCGTCAAGCGTGGAGCTGCAGTCCCAGCCCATCTTGCCCACCGGTATCTGTCCCTGGCTAGTCTTCTCATATCCGGTATTGTGCGTCCTCTTGCTGTACCCAGTTTTCCAATATAATCATGGTGTGTCTCGGCCTGCCTCGAGGTCGTCTGCCTTCCGGTCTAGCTTCCATAAGCCACCTGGCCTTTCGGGTGTCGTCCATTATGCAGATTTGCCCGAACCATTTCAACTGTTTCTATTCCAGGATGCCACGGATTGATGTCACCTCCAATTCCTCACGGATTCTGTTATTTCTAACAAAGTCCCTCTTAGTTTCGCCAGCTATTCTTCGGAGGAATCTCATTTCCGCTGCTGTGATCCTGCCTACGTGCTTATCGAGGGTTGTCCAGCTTTCAGATCCATAAAGAAGAACTGGGAGGAACACCGCCTTATATATCGTGAGTTTGGCCTTTCTGCTTACTATGATTGTATTGGCTATCTGGTAATATATCCCATTAGCCTTCATCACCCGATTTAGTACCTCCTGGTCTATTTTACCATCTTCATTGATGATTGTCCCCAGATACGTGTATGAATTTGTTACCTCTTGTGGTTCGCCATTACTTAACATCATAGGCTCCGCATTATCTTTTCCCACGCACATAACCTTGCTCTTAGACGGGTTTATATGCAGCCCTCGCAGCTTCAATTCTTCTTCCCACTTGACCAATAATGTCTGTAGAGCCTCTTGTAAGTCCGCTATAAGAATTATATTGTCGGCATATAACATAGCTCGAGCCAACACTGGTGTCAAATTCCAATATCCCACAACAGCTCTTGGGGTTCTTCTTTTACACACTTTCCAAATTTCATCCATGAGAAGGATAAAAAGCAGAGGACTAAGACTATCCCCTTGCTTTGCTCCTTTATAAAAGTGGAAAGGTTCTGATGTGTGTCCACTGAGCCTTATTACACCCTTTGGGTCATGATATATTGATTTAATAGCACTCAACAAGTTTGCAGGTACTCTTCTTCTAATAAGTGAGTCCCATATCTCTTGTCTCAGAACTGAGTCGAATGCGGCCCTAAGACCCAGAAATGCTAGAAAAACCGATTTTCCACGGTCCCATGCTTTTTCCACAATCATTCGTAGTGAGAATATGTGGTCTTGGGTCTGTCTGCCAGGTCTGAAAGCGGCTTGCTTCTCCTTTAGATCTTGCTCTACTATGTGCCTTAGTCGCTGTTCAAGAATTCTTGTGTATATCTTGTACACAACTGACGAGAGGCAGATTGGCCTATAGTTCCCGCATTCGCTTTGGCTGCCCTTCTTGTGAATAGGGATTATGATATTGTTCTCCCACGATATATGACAAATGTGTTATAAAAATAGTCACGAGTTCGAGTCCCGGTGCCAAGGCATCTTTTAAATCTATCTTTTACACATTTTTTAACTAATTACTTTCCTACCTTTACTAGGTAAGAAAAGTATTGCAATCGGTTCCAATTTCCGATATGCGGTTTTTGACGGATCTATACGTTTCAGAGCCCCCTGAGTCCGAAAAATACATTTTTTTACCATTGGTCTGTCAGTCTGTGACAAGATTTTCTCGGGAATTACTGAACCGATTTTGATGCTCCTCTTTTTATTTTGTAGGGTTTTGACTACTGATGCCTGTGGCAGAAATTCGATGCTCCATGCGCAATAAATGAAACAAACACGTTTTTCTATAGACTGTAGTTCGAAAATGGCTCTGACGATTTTGATGAAACTTTCCTATAATGTTATTATATTAAAATTTCTTATTTTTTTATATGCTCCAACTTCCGAACAATTTATTCCGCAATTTCATAACAATAAGTTTTACTAAACAACCCGGCAACTGTTCATTATATGTAGTTGAGATTAGGTATATATTATTTTAGTTTATAAAACAGGTATTGATATGACTCATTTCCTGAAAAGTATATACAATTGAAATTACCTGTAAGAATCAGTAAATATACAAAACAAAGTGCTAAATTGCAAACGTTACATAAACAATTAAAGATATTCAGCAAAGTATTTTTCAATTAAGTTTTATTATTATAATTATATCATTTTTACAATAGATGCCTACTTAAACGACCTCCGTATAGAATAAAG